TCCCCATTATTAACCTAGTTAGTAAGTTCCCCTGACCCTCCACGTGCCAGGTTGCAGAAAGACTCTGCGCTGCCATCGCTGAAGATCTCAGCTTCAGAGCAGCTCGGCCAGGGCATTCGGAGATCCTTTTGTCTGATTATACTATTCCATCCTTCTGTTATTGTATTATTGTTATGTTACAATGGGTTTTTGTTATATCATCGTATTGCTACTTGTAGCATTGTTTTGTTGTATTATTTGTAGCACTATAGTGATAATGTCTTGCCTGTAGCCAGGCCTTCCATCTTCTAGGGGATGCTGAGTGTGAAGTCTTAAGCATGAGCTCTGTGGCGACTTTTGCAGATTCTCTGTAGCTAACTGTGTGCATAGGCATGCTAATTCTGAGCACCTGCATGGACCTCAAAAAAAAGATTTGGGCCGGAAAGGGGAACCGCGTGATGTCACGATAATTGCAGCTTTCGTAAAAGCAATTGCGGCACGGTTTGATGGATTTCTGCAAGCAGTAACAGCACCCCGCGACCTCGCGACTGACCTTCTATCCTAGCACAGGAACTCTGAAGATTCGGTGTTCTCGGCCCGCTAGCTTGGGCAGGTAAAAAGCTTATGGGCTGCAGGCGGCCTCACGTTGAGGGATCCGTGGGATGTGATTAGGATCCATCTCGAGTCCCAACAGAAAACACACTTCCGAAGCGCCCAATTGCAATCCCAATTTAGTTTTTTGATCCTCCACCCCCTTATCTTGCTCAGACCCCCGAAACTCTTGCATAGCTGCAGATCGAGCCATTTTTTGGTACGACAGGTTTTCTCCAAGACATCAGTGAAATCAGATCCTATCCTGAAACCTTTTGATTGATTGTGTCCATCGTGGCAACTAATCCTAAGCACTGAAATGCGCGCTGGCTGAGGGGCCACCTCCCGCAGCTGCTCCTCGGCTTCTTTCGTATTTGAGCGCCTCTTCCACCGCAGCAGCAGCAGCAGCTGCTGCTGCTGCTGCTACCACCACGACTACTACAAGTACAATCGCAGCCACTACTACTACTACTACTACTACTACCCTACGGGTGTGTTTTCTGTCCGCTATTTTTGTTAAAGAATGACAAATTACCTGGGTTTCGGACTGATTTTAGAATTTTTTTGGGTGGCTGCAGAAAATGAAGATTTGTTGGGCAATTTGCAAAAACCCATAGTTTCAGCGCGAATAACGCGCGCCACTTTTTTAAATGCGAATTTGCCGTTTTCCACACGCCTGCTATGGTTTCGTGCAAAAAGTGCGTCTTTGATCGTCGGAGAATTTCTTGCATTTTTTGCTGATTTTACGTTCGTCTTTGCAAAATGTAGCTTGTGAGTGGGACATCAAGCATACGATGGTAGCAGTATGACCGTATGATGAGTACAAATGAAGGAAGCGGTTCTTAGGACAGGACTGTTGCTCTTCGTCTCATTAGGTTTAGGTTTTAGGGATTTAGGCTTAGGGTTTAGGGTTCAGGGATCTGGGTTGCTGATAAGGAACTTAATTGAAGTTACCATATTGGGGAAACCCTATTGATTACTGTATATATATATATATACCCGTTATGGTATTGTAAATTAATTAAAACTCCTGAACAGCAACCCAGTCATAGCGCAATTACGGCTGTACTTCTGACGCAATTATAAGCTTCCTAGGTCCCCGAACGGAGTTATGCTTTGGGCATGGATGCTCTGGTCACCGTATGCTCTTGGAACACGAACGGATATATGTTTTGGGCATGCATGCTCTGATCACCGTATGCCCCTGGAACACAAACGGAATTATGCTTTGGCATGGATGCTCTGGTCACCGTATGCTCTTGGAACACGAACGGATATACGCTTTGGGCATGGATGCTCTGCTCACCATATGCTCTTGGAACACGAACGGATATATGCTTTGGGCATGGATGCTCTGATCACCGTATGCTCTTGGAACATGAACGGAATTAGGCTTTGGGCATGGATGCTCTGGTCACCGTATGCTCTTGGAACACGAAAGGATATCTGCTTTGGGCATGGATGCTCTGATCACCGTATGCTCTTGGAACATGAACGGAATTAGGCTTTGGGCATGGATGCTCTGGTCACCGTATGCTCTTGGAACATGAACGGATATATGCTTTGGGCATGGATGCTCTGGTCACCGTATGCTCTTGAACACGAACGGAAAGCCAACGAATGTAAGCCTGAAAAAACGGACGGAAAAGTCACCCGATGGCTACTACTAGTAACATTAATAATCGGAATAGTAGCGGCGAATGAAAAATGATGGACAGAAAATTGAAAAAAATAGCAAATCTTGAAACATCGCGAAAAAAGCAAAAAAATAATGAACGAGTATGAAAAACATGGAAATACTGAAAAATGTAAAAATCTGCGAGACATGAAAGAAAAATAATGTGGAATTATGAAAAAATGATGAATAAGAAAGATTAGGAATTTGAAGAGCAAACATGCAAATCAATATAAAAAATTATGAACGGTGAAACATGATGAACGTGATGAAAATGATGAAGAATGATGAAAATAACGAAACATGATGAAAACGATGAAAATGATGAACATAAGTGAAAATCTGGAAAATCATGCGAATCATCAAAAACCACAAAAATAATGAAAATGATGAATTATGACAAGTATGAAAATAAAAACATTGAGAAATGATGGAAATGATAAATGAAGAAACACCATGAAAATGATTAGAAAAATCATGACAATAATGACGGATGATGGTAAACGGTGACACATGATGAAACATGATGAAAATCATTAAGAATTATGAATTAATCGCAAACATGCATGAACAATCATGCGCAACAATGAAAAACTATGAAACCTTGTGGAAAAAGATGAAAATTGCAAAACATGTGGAAAATGATGAAAACGACGCATACACAGATAGGAAACCGATGAAACATCACGATGAAAAAGGGTGATATGATGACAAGTGCTCGCGTGAATGTGCCTTGTAAAAAAACACCGGAAAGGGGGGGCGCAGCCACCCGCCCAATTGCAAGAGCTGACAAAGATTAGGACACGTGCTTTGTTCCGAAACTTTGATTTGGCAATGCGATGTGATTCATGCTGAGAACCGGATGAACATGATCAAAAAGTATGGGAATGATGAAAATGTATAAAATGAATGAAAAGTGATGAAAATTATTAGAAATGATGGCAATGGCGGAACATTATGAAAAATCATCGAAATCCTGAAACATTATGAAAAACATGACAAACACGTCCGGGGGCTGGAAGGATGAAGAGAATTCCGAGGACGCTCCACTCGCCAGCGCTCCAACGCACGGAAAACAACGAGAGGCTCGCCCAGAATTTCGAGGACGCTTGGTCACGACGCGCGGAAAACAACGAGAGGGTCGCCACTTACGCCCAGAATTTAGAATAGAAAATAGTGAGAAATCATCAAAATAATATTATCTAAAATCTTAACAAAATTATGAACATTCATGAAAATGATGAAACATCAGGCGAAACCATGAAACATCATGAAAAAAAATCATCCAAATCATGGGCATGAAGGAACAACACTGAACCATGAGATCCAAATGGACGATTGAAAGAAAATCATGTAATGTCATGAAAATGACGCTGAATATGATGAAAGATTCAGAGAACTATGAAAATTGATGAAAACTGATATAACAGGATTAGCAATCCTTCCTCCCTTGCTTGCTTGTTTCCTTTCTGCTGTCCTTCTGCCAGGGTGTACGGCCGAGGCCCAAGCATCATGCTTTTGTTATGCTTACAAAGTTGTTCTTGATGCTTATAAAGTGTTTTGTTTGACTCCTATCCCTCTTAGACGTGTGTAGGGGAGTCACACTTAAAGTTAACTTACATCAATTCCGGGCAAACTCTGGAAGGAGGACATGAAACTTTCTTTCGGGCTGACATCACTGGTATGATGCCGATGTCATTCAGGTATTCAGGTGAGGGAAGTGAAGCTGGCGTGTCAAGCCCTTGGAAAGTGGTAAAGTGCTCGAGACTGCCCGTCAATTCCTTACTGGGGATCCCTCTACATTGTTACATACTGCCAAGTATTGCCAAATTATAGCCATGGCAACGCTTCCGAAGCCCTGAAAACAAGAACCACGGGCTCAGGAAAGCGAAAATGCATGTTGAGATGAAAGCCCGAGCTCAAATTGGGCGTAAGCGACCCCCCATTCAACTTCGGGAACTTTTCAGAAAAGCTCTCCTCCATCTGATTGCAGGCATCAGCGTAAGCCTTTTCGTGCCTCATACGCAGAATCATGCATTTGTGCAGTTTGCCTCAGACTCACCGACTGTGCTGTTCTCATTGGCTCAGATAGCGAGGCAAATCTGTGATGATCTGGTCTTTCGTTGACGCGATCTCCTTACTGTGCGCCTCTCGATCCCTAGCATCACAGCTTCATGAGATCATGCGTAAAAAATGAGCTTTCTGCATACAAATCTTCTGGCTTCTTTCAATCACGCATGCGGGAACTTGAGGAAGCCCAGAATGACCCTCCGAGGCAGAGTCTTTTGCTTCTGCTGCTCGCTCTGGCTCAGATCCTCATGCAGTCGCCTCTGAGCATCAGACTCACAAATCTGGAAACCATGTTGGTGCTATGAAAAGATCTGGGATGCTGGCACAATTTCTTCTCTGGCTTCCTTGAGTTTCTCATTGGCATCCTTCCAGTCGGATTCTGAAATGACAATCACTGTTGATGACTGACCAAAACTTCAGGTTTGGCCGAACGGCAGGTAGACTCTTGTGGTAGCAGTCCTCCAGTCTTCGCTCGAGTGTGCTCCTGAGCTTCTGTTCCTCAGGTCGAATATATTTGAATATGAACCCTCTGTCTGTTCTTGCAGAGGTGAAAGCAGTGTGTGTCTGAGGGAAGCACCCTTGACAGCATGTCGCTCAGAGCCTTTGGGGATGAAAACACAAACTCGGGTCCTACAACATCATGGAAACTCATAGATTGTCATGGTATGTATGGTATGTGGGGCACCTTGTCATCCCTCATTTGCTGTTGCAGCAGATTGACCTTGGCACGCAACTCTGCCGACTAGTTTTCGGAGTTGCTGGCAGTTCATGGATTGCGGGCCTTGTCCTTCCAAACGTGGAGCCGGGTCTTGGTGTCTTTGTCTTCTTCCTGCAAAGGCATCTGAACTTCCTCTCGCATTGACAAATCACTGGGCATATGACACATGTGCGTAGCAAACTTGACTTTGCACGGTCCGCGAATTTGGTTCCCGTCTTGTCGTTGAGTTCCTGTAGCCTCGGTCTCATTGTTGCTGCCGCCCACTTCAAATCCACAGCCGGAAAGCGAGTGCCCAACGCAAGGATTTCCTCCTTCTGTCGCACCACAATATGACCCAAACCCACATTCTCGTCATCTAGGACCTGTTGCAGGCTCTGCGCAGACGTAGGCTGCAGTTCTACACTGTTGATTCACTGTTGATTGTAGCCATGGTCATGCTACATCTGCTGGCTTGCTGGTGAGTCTGCGACATGATGCAGCATTCTCCACATTCAGGAACTCCCATGTGAAATGCTCTTGTGTTCCCCTGTCCGTGCCAGCACTGAGTGCCTTGAGGCGCTCCTGCAGCTGCTGGTTTTCAACCTCGCAAACCAGGATTTTGGTTTGCCTTCGATTCAAACTCAGTTACAAGCAGGCTTCCCGGAACTGCGGAAGTGCTGAGACTTGAGCCATCAGGTCCTAGGAAGAGAGGGACAGAAATTTCACGTTTTGCAGTCCGTTACAGACTTCCTGCCCGGCGAGCCTCCAGCTCCTGGGTCTGCGAATGGTCCTTAGACTCTGCGAGTCTGCGAGTGGACTCCTTCCATTCTTCGCTCGATGCAAAGAGCTGCAGACAGCCAGGGACCCAACCAGCTGGCCTCGCCTCTTCCCGGAACCTGAGACTTGCAGCAAAGGCTTCGATTCAGGGAAACCTCGACCGTGAACTTGGTAAACCATACTCTGATGTCCGGTCAAGGCCCAATCAGTCTCCGACGGGGATAGATTGGAAACTCAGCATCGTTCTCAAGCCTGGCAAAAGCCCCGGCACCGGCTATGCTTTTGGCGAGTCTTCAGAGTGCTGCACTCTTGTCGCAGGTCATCATTCTCCTGCATTCCGACATTATCCAATTCAGCTAGCAGCTGGTCACCCGCTAGCCATGCCTCTTGGAGCGCCATAGGAGGGATTCATCAGCTCTGGCACGCAGGCACGCACATTGCCAGATTTGCGTCCAACTTTGGGCTGTCTTGCCAAAAGCTGCTAGTCTTCTGCTCCAGGTCTTGACTAAGAGGCTAGGCCGGCTAGGTGGCTAGTCTGAGAATGCACTGCGATGCCATGCGATGCCACTGCATTCTACCTGGCTTGAGCTTGCAGGAACGTGCACGGCGCAGGCTTCTTGCTCTGTTCACGGGCACATTAGGGTCGAAAAGCTGTTTAAGAGGTTTCGACATGTAATGAATGCGTTTCACATGGCCACGGCCCCTGAGCGCACCCGACCAAGGCCAGCTGCACGGCCAGGAGGGGCAGCAGCACCGTGAGGATGACCAGCAAAGTGGTGGACGCGTAACTTAGGCAAAGCGTGCAAAGCGTGCAAAGCGTGTGTGATCAAATTTGGTGGAGGTCAGGGAGGTCTGATCATTACTCCAGAGCTGTTGAATCAAGAAGTTCAGTGGCGTACTCCATCCAGTCTCGGCTGCCTCGCCAGCCAAGCCAGAAAGAAGCCATGCTGAGGAAGCCAGAGAACAGGATCCTCAGAACCAAGCTGAACTGGTAAATCTCGGAGATGCCCCTCAAGCATGGCAACATTTTGCTTAGGCCACTCAGGCTTCGACAGCATGCCCGTCACAAGCATGATGGGCATCAGCATCACGACCGGCGGCAACCACGGACACACGGAGAGCCTGCTTCTTCTACTACAAAAGCCCTGTGTGTCCAGAAGGTGCTGTACCGTTCAAGCTGGCACCTCAGAAAGAAGAGGGTGCTGAACCTCAGCGCAAAGTGCAAAGTTTGGGCCAAAGAGAGTATTGCTGAGTATGGCTTTTCAAGTGGCGACAGCAGAATTCAGGTAAGGAACCTTTGAAGACAACCTTGTTATCATGTTGGTTTCATGACCTAGCACCAATTTTACGCTCATCCCCGTCCAACGGAAATCCCCGGCTTATCTTTGCCGCACCCGGTAAGCACCTACGCACACGCCAGCTAACCAGGGCCATATGTACCCTGCAAACCACCTGTCCCTCCCCGGCTCCACAAGTCAAGAACAAAGCCGAGAGCTCGGCGTGGCAAGTGGGATCCACAGGAATAAGCTAGAGCCAATGCAGCCTTACGAAGAGAGAAAGCTCTACAGCTCTCTTGGCACGCGCTGAGTCACTGGGCCGCCGGCTGGATGAGCAAGCCCTTCGTCGCAGAATGCTCAGCGCCGTGGACCTCATGCAACCAGATGCATTTTGCACTGCACAGCTCAATGGCTTGGGCTCTGGCAATGAGGCAAGCCAGAAGGCCAAGAAGGGCGGCAAGAACCGGAGCCGGGGCCTCCGCAAAAGCAGATGGCTTGCGTTAGACAGAGCTATGCGCTGTGCGAGATAATCAGAGATTTTCTCAGGTGCTTCTGGACTCCGAGGCGGAAGCCACGGCACAGACAGGTCCTGCTCCAGCGTGGCTGCGGTGAGCGGCAACTGGCGAAATGCTAAGTCACTTGTCCGGGTGCAAGGGCTTCTGCCAAGGCTTACGGTAAACTGAGGCCGGGTGGCCACAGCCAGACCGAAGAGAAGTACGATCAAGCATTCGCATGGTGAGCTGAGCAGAATGAACCTGCAAACATGTCCAGCACTGGAAGCGCCTGTCCTTTGTGAGGCGATCTGAGCTCACCGCCACCTGACAGACCCTTGAAGACGGTTCCAGTAGAAAGTCCTGTTGCAGCTCTCTAGGCCTCTCTTAAGCTCCATCTGCACATGTAAAACTTGCACTGTTGCGCTCCAACCGGTGCTGCTGCGCTGCAGGTAGATGGTGAATCTCGGGCACTGCAGTGCTGCAATTTTCTGTTGCTAGCTGCTAGCTTGCGGGATATTTAATTCAAGCAAGTTGCGTGATAGCGGCTGAGATCAGAACGAAAACCTTTCACTTCCCGCAGTTTTCTGCCCTGAGCTCTTTGTGAACCTAATTCAGTACCTCAAAGGAAAAGAGCGGCACAAAGATGATGTAGAAGGACCTAACGCAGGGCGCTGGAGACACGTGCACGAAACGCACAGGTCCCTGGGCGGCTCACAACTGAAGTACCTGCAGCAGCTGCAGCCAGAGGAGCATGCTGCTGGCCAGTAGAGACCTCCGCTGACCGTCCATGTTCATCTTTCTTTCAAAGCTGCCACTGCCGAGACCACGGCGTGCAGAAGAGGCAGTGACCGAACCGCACCAGGAAGTAGTTCAGAGCACGCCTCAGAAACTGCGCAGCAGCAGGGTCTGCGAGGCCGCTGCGGAAACACTGAGCTCCAGCAAGCGTCTTTGCTTGCGCTCCTGTTCACGTGCCTGTTCCGGGACCAAGATGGATCTTGGCACTCCAGGTATTCGATCAGATTTGCAGTCTACACATACTAAATTCACATCCCCAAGCATCCTTTTCAAAAGTATTTCTCATGCACACTCGGGCAACGTGTCACAAGCAGGTACACGGCTGGAAATTGCAGTTTATGCGCCTGCTCCCCGCGCTGCTGGAGCTCATTTCTCGCCTGAATGAATTCGCAGGATCACAGAATCAGCAAGCCGCGCATGCTCTAGGGTGGCGGCTATCTCCAGGTCAAGGAGATGCTCCCGACCTCTCATGGCGATAACAAGACGACTTCAGTCCAGGCAGCGGAACAAACACTTATCATAATTAGTAGCTTGTTTTCCACGACCTTTCAATCCACAGTGATACCAGCAAATAAGTGGCTGGGTGATGTCACGGTCTGGGTGTGCATCCCTGCTGTTCTGCCGTTCCCAAAATCCGACGACCCGGCTAGCAGTAGGCGCCTTACTTCCCCCATCCCCATTTTCGCAGAAAACAAACCTAACGTTCTTCTTTGAACAGGATACCGTTCGTGCCAAGCCGGACGCTCAGCTTCTTGAGCCTCAGCCCCAGGGTGGGCGGAGTCAGCGTCAGCCCTTAAGCCTGGCCTGGCCGTCATGGTCCAGTGCTGATGCACGTATGCTTTTTGCAGAGCACCACAACCGCCGACCCCTGACAGGAAATTGGTTTTGGGATCAAAAATTAAGACGATGTTTGAACGCGTGCGTTGGGGTTCCCCCCACAGGATATGAGGATTTGGGGCATTTTGGGGGAGGCCAGCATAATTAGCACGATCGGGTCTTCCTTCCTCACGTTTTGCACATGCACTGCAAGAGGTGGGAAAACCGTGTCCCTTAAGTAAGACATGTGGGCTAAAAACCCACAAGGTGCGGCTGAGCCCCCCCCCCCCCCACGCAGACAGGCGAAAGGAGGATTCCCGGCATCGCAGTGTGCGGCCAGGCCACCCACCCGGCATGATTGCATACAGGCCACACCCTCCAAACTGCGCATTTTGCATGGAAGTCTTTTGCTCGTTCCAGCACTGTGGGGGCTCCTATGCTACCTTTGTGCCAAAAAACTTGTGGGCCAAAATATGATCAGCCTGCGCACAATGAAAGTGTTGAAATCACCTTGGATGGCTTTTCTTGAGTGTTTTGTCCCTCCTGGTCCCAATTCAGACCCAAATGGAGTCCCATTGTTCTGATGATGTTAGCGTGCGTCGCCTCTGGGCGCCCCGGACGCGATCATCATTCAATTGGGAACCCATTTTGGTTTAACCATGATAGAAGACTTTAAAACCCGAAAACTTCTGCCGAAGTTGCTAGAACACTTTTCGCGGAGCTTCTCATGATCTCGTACGTCGCTAGGGGTTGATGTTAGTTTTCTGCGTTCATTCTGTTCACTGAGCATAAGACGTTCAGGATAACGTGTGAGCTTTTCATTTCCGTACAATACCTGTTGCTCAGCACGTGGAGAGTCCCAAATGGGATGCAGCAATACATCCTAAAATGCATCAGACAATTGCTTTACATGCTGCACCCCTTATGTCCATAAGACGCACGTTCAGCTCAACTGCACCTGCTGAATCAACAGACAACGGTTCTGGACTGCTTGTGGCAAGATTGTCCAACAAGTGCTGGTATTTGCGAAGGGGATGAGCCACAGCATCGCAAGCCAGGAACGTTGGCAGTACGCAACAGGCGCTTTCAAACCCCCGAACAGCAGCAGCAAATCCTTCTCATCCTCACACCCTGGTGAGGCAATTCTCCACCCATCTAGGAATCTAAGATCCAGACGCTTGAACACGTACAGCTGCCGCGGGTGAAATTGGCGATGCATGGCCTTGCAAAAATCTGATTGTTCCTAACACGTCAGCAAAAGCAAACAGCCTTGATTTGGGCATCCGGCCATCCACGTGACCAACATGCCTCTATGCGTGAAGGAGGCCTGCCATGCGTCAACTTGGTGGACAGAGATTTGGAGTGTTGCCTCCAACAGGCATAGAGGAACGCTGAAGTCGCTTCGCAGAAGCATCTGCCAGAGTTCCGGATGCTCGGACCTGAAACTTCAAAATGCAGACTCGAATTGAATGTTTTCTAGCAGCTTCTGCTTGAAGCACGAAGGTCAAAAGAATTAGAGGCTTAGCCTTTTAGCCTTTGGGATCCCCGACAACTTGGACATCCTCTGGCAGGCGGAGCTGAAGGATCCCGAGAGCTCCGTGGCCTCCAAATTCACCAAGACCCGCTGCCAGCACCTTCGAAAGAACTCACAAAACTCAAAGCATAGAGGTTTCAGTCTCTTGCTTGTGCACAGGGGGAGGGCACTCATCGGGCAAGGACAGAAGGTGGTTGGCGGCCTTCAAGCCAGGTGCCCCGTATGTTGGTCAACTGCGCAGCTGCGGTCTACTGAGATGAACACAACGGATTGGAGCGCATCAATGGAACCTCCAGGTACCAGGGCTCAACTGATTTGGTGCATCTGTTTGGCTTTGTCACGGGCCTCTGTGCGTGGCAAGCGCCATGTCACGCAAGAGACGTCCGCTGCTTAAACTGCTGACTGTTCTTTGGGATGACTATGGCCACTGAACACGCTGGACATTCTGAATCAGGCTTTAGTCTCATTATACCTACCAGATACCCACGGCTTCTGCTCGGTTTTTACAAATCAAATTCTGGGGTAGTCTGGCACGGTCGGTGAACACATCCACATCGGCAACATGTCCACTAGATGTTTGATGCCACTCTGTGAACGCTGCTTACCATACTTGATCCTGGAAACGACATTAGTGGCAAGGATTGGGAACTGTCCTATTCATCTGATCCCCAACTACGTCGTTCTGTGCCTCAGGTCAGTAAGCCTACCTGTGAGGTTCCCTTGCGCATGAGGAAAATGGGTCATCGCACAAACAGCTGTGTAGTTGAACTCCATGTCTCATATCCAAAGCCACAAAAACTAGGCCCAGCCTTGGAAAGCCATGGTATGCCGTCAGCTTAATATCCTGAACTCCATACACTTCGCCAGCTGCTTTGCAGATTGGCTTGACAGACATCAACCCTGCCAAGCCTTTACTCAACCTTCAGTCCGACTCTTCTCGCTCTTACTCCGACGGGGCGAGCTCAAAGAGCTTCTAAATGAAGCCACAACCCTCGCAGCAAAGAAAGCACTCAGCCCACAACCACCAGCCAGTCTAGCCCCTGGACTTTCTGTGCAGCATGGGTGGGAGTGCAGGGAGCATACGAAAAGCAATGAAGGTTAAGCCACACAAGCTCATGCCTGCGTCCTCGCACCCCTTGGCAAAAATTATGTCGCAATCGCGGGCAATCGATGGTACTTTCCGGCAGCCAGTAGGCCTCACATTTTCACCTTGCCTTGCGTCTGCGAGCTCCTTGAGGGTTCTCTGCTTTGGGAGTGAAACGGAAGGGAGGGGGTGAGATGCATCTAGTTTCAAGCCAAGTTGTCGGGCTCGAGGAAGAGCCGCCGGGACCGACGGAAAGCTTTCTCGAAGCGCTGTAGCGTCGCCACAAAGGCCTCGTCCTTGTCCAGGGCCGGGTCGATATGCTCCAGGGTCGACTTCAGGGACATCCTTGGCCCATGGCTTCCTACGCCCCATCCATGAACCAGATCGCTTTCTCAGTCCGAGCCACAGCATGTCCTTGAGGCCCTCAAAGGCGCCAAGAAGCTCGTTGGCGTGCTCTGCCGCCTTCTGCGCCAGGTCACCTGCCCACAAGAAAATGCACCCCATCTGCTGCGTGAGGCCTCTAGAGGCCTCTAGAGGCCTCCAGGGTAGGGAAGGTAAGGAGGCTCCGAGAGGACCTGCCTCTTGGGTTGGCCTCGCCTCTTGCGCTACCTTCGCCTGAAGTTCCAAGCCTCGCAAGAAGTTGCAACTTTGAAGTGGAGACCTAGACTTAGACACGTCTGTTCTGGCAAGCAACAGCTTGAAGGCGTAGCTTTCCAAAGGTACTCCGTTCTGGCCATCTTTCGGGGCCAGGGCGTGGGATCCCAACAGCGTCGATGCTTCGCTAGGAGTGACCTAAGCATGGCATGCACGGAGGGGCCAAAATCACGTGTGAACTTTCCCCGCCAAAAAACTGAGTAGTAATGGGACGGAAAGCACAAAGTGGTACTGCTGCGAAACATACTGGAAGCAGCCTGGTGGTCAGCAAATACCACGTTGGGTGCCGAGGACAACTTCTCCAGCAGGTAGGGCTGAGTTTTATCCAGCTTCTCCCCGCGCAGCGAGAGGACATGGTCCATGAGCAGGAGCAACCGCGCATCATGGTCCTTCTCCCGTTTGTTGGAGGGCAGGACAGACGCAGCCAACTCACCAAATGCATGCACGAAGCCCTCAAGGCACTTCAAGGTGATGGCCTGCCCAGCAACGACGGGCACAAGTTGCAATCGTCTTCCAGCTTGATCTACTTCTCCCCAGTTCTGCTGCAATACACCACAACCCTGAACTGGAAGATTTGAAAGTGCATCTGCAGGGTTAGGGAAATACAACAGAAATTGTGCCTGCATGTGCCTGCGCTATGGGGTGAACCTTCTCAGGGATGCTTGGAAAAAGGCTTGAGGAGAGGACCTTCTGGTGCTGCACCCGGGGCCAGGGCAGGAGCCGCTCCTTACACCAAAGCTTTCAAAGCTTTGAGACAAGCGTCATCAGCTTACAAGCCCATGCAAAGTCGTGACAAGGCCAAGGTGCTTTCTCTGCAGAAATGATGAGCGGCTCCAGTGCCAGGATTGCTTTCACCGATGGCTGCAGCGCCTCGACTGCGTGGACTTCCCGATTCCGAAGCCACGCTGACCTGAGCTCAGAAGCTCACCAGCTTCTACCTTCCACAGGCATCCGCAGGCTGCACACACCTCGGGCCACACTTCGGGCCACGCTTCGGGCCGGGGAGCTCCCAGGCATGCCAGGCGCTGGCAAATTTTCGCAGCAGCGCATCCGGAAGGCGATCAATCTCCTTCGAGGCCTTTTGTCTTATCTTGGCCACGAGCGCCTTGTATGAGATCACCAAATTGTCCCGCAGCACCAGGACCTTTGCCACAGCAACAGCCTGTCACCTACCTGCAGCTCCCCACCAGGTGCCTCCGGGTCGAATAACAGCTGCGCGCCGTTGATGGTCCTTGGGCGGCACGAGGACACTGTAAAATTCCGTAAAAGCATGCGGGGGGCGGGGGGTGTGCGGGAGGTATGCGGGTCTATGAAGTCGAAGGATCTCGTAGGCGCCCAGCTCGAGAGCTTGCATGAAAACCGCTGGTGGTAATAGCTCTCCCGATTCGAAAAGATACTGAAACCGAGGGAAATCCTCCCGCTCCTGCGAGGCCACGCGCTCGAACTTGCCAGCCTGGCAGAGCACACATTTCTTGTGATTTCTTGCGATTTCTTACGACCGGAGCTGTGGAGGCCTCAAGAGCTTCTGAAATGGCATTCAGGTTTCGAGGGATCCTTCACAAAAGGCAAGAAACATGAGATGTCTCTGGACAAAATCGCGGTGCCATTTGGACAACTGGGGCCACGGCTCCGCCCTGTTGGAAGGTTTGCAGTAATCTTCCCGCAAAGCTCGAACTCCCAGCGTGGCGTTCCCGGTCATCGTGTTACCAGCCGCCTGCAAGACCTTTGTCATCCGGGCCGGGCGGGGCCCCGACCCGCGGGGTCCCTTTAACCCTGGCTGTGATCCAATATGCTGCGGAAGGAAAAGGCAGCTGGCTGAAGCAGCGAAGCGTGCTGAAACTGTCACCAAACATGCGAGACACGCGAGCAGCCTTTTGTGGAGTTGCATTATTGCATGCACGGGCCTCCACCCACGGCACAGCTGCATCTTTGGCAGCAAGTGCCAAGATATGTACATGCGCAAACTTTGGCAGCAAGTTAAGCTGCCCATTGCGCTTACTGCACATGGACCTGCAGTCGGGCAGACTGAAGCGATTCATTGAGGCTCACGGAGGTTCTGTCTCCCTGCCTCTTGCAGCCAGCACTCCAGGAGCTCTGGCGTTCGCGCGTGTGGGACCAGGGGAACTGCTCCCAGGCGCTGGAGCTCAGCATGGTAAACCTGTCTTAGAGCAAGTTGAAGACAGAAAGGGCACTTGGACTCAGAACCCCGACCGTGCCTTCAGAGCTGAACCAGGTGCCGCCTGTGGAGGAGAGGCTTCACGAGGCTTCCATTGTCGTGTGCTCTTGGCCTTCCGCGCCTTGGCTACCTGGCCCAACAAGTGGTGAGCCTCGCTGGCCGGAACCTGGGATTTCCAGAGCTGCCGGACCAGGCGCCTGGCGCAGATTCTTTGTACACTTGTTTCCAGCTACTTCTAAGACATGCTCAAGCCCATAGAATGCGCGGTCTCTGTTTCTTCTATGGGGCTCGTGACTCGTGCGTTTGAGTTTTTTCCTGAGTTTTTGTGGCGGGCCGTAGTTTTATCTCTGGCAGCAAAAATTTGGTACTGGAATGGCCGTGGTCTCTGGCGGCGGCAGGCTGGATTTTCGTTCTCGGAACCTCAGGACTGAAACAGCTTCGCCACATATCACACTACACCTTGTTGTTTCTGGTGAGTGGCTTATTGGCTCTCCAGCCGAAATGCTGTTTAGATGCGACGTTGTAACGCTAGAAAAAAAGATTGCGCTTGACAGACCAAGTCATCACATGTTAGAAATGACTAGGGAGTACACCACCCTGGTAGAAAATGTATTAGCATTAGGTTTATGGAAAGATGAGAGGGAGTCTTTGCAAACCTAGCATTATTCTGGTACTTGCGACACCTCGCGACATCGAAGCGCTGTTGCAGCTGCCGTGGGTCAGCAAGCACGTCCTCCGCCGCCTCGGGAAAGCCTCCACACATCTGGACACATTCATTGTGGCAGCCCTACCGCATCTCAAGTTCACTGGCCTGTGTGATAAGCCTCCTGATAGTCCAAGCGCCAACGAGACAGTTGGAGCTTCAACCCTCTCAAAGTCTCCATGTCCTTGCATCTTGAGAAGTCAAACAGTATCTTCAGTATCTTCGGTTCAGGCCTTGAAGCGCCGCTGCAAAGCGTCCACGTGGAACTCACGCAGCTCGCCTCGATACTGGGATTCACAGAAGTGCTTGACAGATTGACGGAAGTGTCGGCACAGAACACATACCAGCGATCTCAAGTGTACTATTGCTACGCTAGAATCACCACAAACAACTGCCGCCAGTTCTGCTGAGCGGCGGTCAAGCTGTTGATAGTCCGACTCGCACGTCCTCCACGCATCGTCAAGCTTAGCCATGTAGCCTTCACACCAGAAGCAAGCAAGCAATTCGTATGTGGAGCTCTGCAGCAGATTAAGCCGCGGACGTGCGCGAAGCTCGACCGCAAGGCTTTCAAGCTTCTGGCGTGCTGCCTGCGGGGTGCGGAAGGTGGAGAAATACCATCGCAGAAGCGCTTGCCAATGGCTATGCCTCAGCCACTGCACGGAGCTGCTGCAGAGGTTCAGGATCGTCCACACCACCCCCTTGACAGTCGGGATACTTCAGAATAATTGGATTGATTTGGGGTCTAGGAATATTGAAGGCCCGCATACAGCCTGACTTGTCAAGGAAACACTGCGTCAACGTGGACTGGGACAGTGGTGCAATAGCACTAAAACAGCTCCCTCCGCCTGGAGCTCCAAGCAGTCTTGAAGGAGCGGAGGCTTGTATTGCTTGTTCCAGATCCTGCCCAACAGCGCATACCGGCCAGCATGTGAAATTCTGAGGTTGGACAGCAAGACCGCATGAGTCCTGGAGCGCATCCTTCAGTTCGGCGTCAGCTTCAGCTTGCAGGTGGTCCTTGCGCGAAGCTCTTAGACCCTGGCAACATCTCTTCCCGGTTGCATCTGGTAGCTGATATAGTGTGGCTAGGGATTCGAAGAGATGTGAGCCATAACCCTCAAGTGACTCACTAGCATCATGTATGACGGTAAGCAGCAAGCAAAAAGTTGAAGACCGAAGGCTCGGCTGAAATCAAAGTATGCCAGCATAATAATGTTCCCCATCATCCGTCAAAGGATCTCCCAGGCCTTTCACTGCATCAGCTCAATACTGACCAGCTGAGCTGATTAGGGCTACCAGCGGGTACTCGTGTTACTTGCTGCGATTTTTGCGCAATGTGGGGGAGCTACTCTCCTCAATCCAAAAAGTTGGATTGAGGAGACGCACCTGCTTTCTGCATTTCTGCACTTGTTCTTGTTCTTGCTCTCGCGTTGTCAACACCGACGCGGGAATCTCATGTGTTGGTCCGTCACCCACCCAATCGAATCCGCCGAAACACGCAGGAGTCACCATCCTGACTTCCGGCTGCATATGCTGCCTGCAAGCGTCTTACGAAGTGGCATGTAAACCTCCCACTTAAATCCTACTGTGACGATGCTTCTGGGCCATGTCTCTGTCCAGCTTGGCAAGTTTTCGGCCAGCGCGGGCATCTTTGTTTCAATGTTGTTGGGATCTTGCATGTGGGTTCTTCCAATCCTTAGGGGGTGCCAACAGCCCCACGCCTACCCTTAGCCTTTCACCACACAGAGCGGGCCCTGACGGCTTCTGGCTGCAGGCTTTTGCTCCTCTTTCTGCACAGTAGGCCTTGTATCCTCAGCTGCCACCATGGCAGCTGTTGTGAAGTGTTCAGCAGGTCCTTGCCCAAGACTCTCAAGGGTCTCTGCTTGTCATGGTTCACCGTTCAGGGTGCAAAGAGGTGCCCATGTTACTCATCCTCATGCCGTTTGGGATCTGCAATTATTGGATTTCTGTGTTCAATCCAGCGTGCCAGATGTAGATTGGCTCCGTCAGCAGAAAAGAGCTGCTCCACTGTCGTGCAGGGTCTAAGCCTAGGCCGTAGAGTTGTTTGCATCTGAGAGTGGCGTGCATAGCTCTGTTGGGGCTAGCAGCTAGCTCCTTTGAGTGCATGGTCTACACCTTGGCCAACCAAATTGCAGCTGTCTGCCTGTCTGCCTTTCTGTGGGCTTTGCCTCTTTGCATTCTGGTTGGCTCAGTGTTGCATGCACGTCCCGGCTTCCTGAGTGATCTGCGCCAGTATGTCTCCCTAAATGGACACATCTGAGGGGCACTGAAGACTTCCAGAAATTCCCTTGCGTCGCAATCATTGGGATCCACTTGGTGTGTAGACGGACCAATTCCGTTGCACATGCACTACTCAGTGACGCGGAATGCTACATCTCAGTCCACGAAAGCACTCAGCGGTCCAAATCTGCGCGCTGCGAGCGCATCCAGCCTTGCTTCTCCTTGTGTGCAGGAGATCTTGACTCGAACACCATGGCACACAGCAGGTGCCCGGCAGCTGAAAGGTTGCCCTCGAGCTCCCCTGTCTCCCAAATCTGCGCGCAAAGGCATTGCGGAATTGTCTGTGCTTCTATTTCAGGCTTACCTCATACTCACCCAAATAGCTCAAGATCCAGCATACGAACAACTGCAGGTACCCATGCCAACTTGGTGTCAGAAGAAGCGTCGGTTCAATTCTTTAAAAAAACACCCTCAACAAAAAGGCAGCTCGTGACCGAAGATGCGCATGGATTGTGACTGCAGCAGACGCCCCACGCACTAAAATTTACAAGTTGACCTGCCCAAAGTTACACTCAAAATACCAGTTTTTCAGGCTGAGCTTGATTTGCGTGGTTGATGTACGTCGTCTAGTCTCGGCCAGAATAGCTCTGAGCTCTGGTCTGCTAAAGTAACTGATGCAACGGCTTAGCCCATGAAGGCTTCAAGGTAGATCCAAAAGCCTGGGGCTTTTCAGCCTTTCACCCAGCCTTGCACCAAGCCTTGCAACCAGCAACAACTGGAATGAAGCTTGACCACAAGAAGCCTCGTATCTAAAGTTTGCAAGTCGGTGCAGCTAGCAACCCAGATTGAATTGGTTGTGTTCATTGCCTTTTTGACATCGTCAATGATGTTCAAGAATCTCACTGCAACAATTCCTCCATCCACCGCGGAACAGATTGACTGGTTATAGGTCTGGACACAGGGCTCCTGAAGCTAAGCCTCAGAAAGGCAACAAACGGCACCATGAATTCCATAAGTGTGCTAAACCTTGACATTAGCAGCATATTCCAGCACAACCAGAGATGAGACTGAATCCTCCAAAAATGCATTACATTGCTGGCTTTGGATGTTGCTTGTCTGCATCATCGCTTTTACAGATACTTCACCTAGCAGAGTTTCGCGGGGGCTTGTGGGCTGCGTGTGTGAAATTGCCGGCCATTTAGGCTTTACGGTGTAGGTTCTACGGGTTGGGGGTGAGGCCAACACACAGTTATCCAATGAGAGCTGGAAGGTTTCGTTTTGAGGTTGAGGGTTCGTGGATGTTTAAGGCTTCTGGAATCAGGAAATCCATAACGCTAAGCCTCTTTTGGTTTCAAAGTTTAAGTTAAGCTTTACGCTTCACAGATTTAGGAGGTTTGATTTCTTGCTGCTCTTACTCAATGCAGTACCCCATGTAAAGCGCAAGGATAAACAGGTGACCCCGCATCAAAAGAGACATCTCCGGAGGTTCCGTTGAGTGGCCCGAACAGGCAGCAGTGGCTAGTTAAGCTGACCGCTTCCTGGAATGCCGTGCAAGTTCTGTGCTTCCTGCTATACGGTTCATTTGTACAGTATCAAGTCATTGCCCGCATCCGTTGTCCAGTCATTCAAGCCTGTCTTGCGTCGGAATCGTCGGACAACAGACATGCTTTCACAGCAGCAAATGAATACATGATATGGCGCATGGCACGAATGCCAAGAAATCTCCTTTAACCACGCCTGCTGCAAGTCTTCCACTCGAGCACCACCAACTCGACCAGAAGCACGGTGAGCCTGACGAGGAAGAGACAAGCCTCACATCATTTTGCCCCACCAGGGCACCTCCACGTGGTGACGCCAGAGGTTCCTTCCAAGTGAGCGCATCGTGACACACTCAGTTGCTGCTCCAACTTCTACGCATGTCACATGCCTTTGGAGCGCCTCCTCCATGTGCTGCCTCGCCGTGCTAGAAGTTTCAGAGCACCACCGTAACATGGCTACTTCATGCTTTGATCCACACCACTTGGAGGACATCACTTGGTCGAAAGCAGCGCTCAAACCTTGTCTCTTAAGACCCACTTTAGATTCTTGAGAAATGTCAAGTTAGGGCTGCCGCGCACCAGCTGCTGCCCGGCCAACGCACGTCCCTCAGGAAGCTCGGAATCTTGCTTGGCACTTGAGGCACTGCACTTGCCTCACTTGGCTTGGCTGAGCATCGCGCCATCTTTTCGCGGACCTTTGCCAAAGCACGGAGCTCGTGGCAGAAGGTGCCGTCGCCTCAGGGCAATACTCAAGGCATCTGCGACTTTGAGCAATCTAAATGCAGCAAAGCCACAATCCTCCCTGGCCTGCTTCAGGGAGATTGCCAGGCCCCGCCGCTCCTCTGGCCGTGGCCGTGTGCCCTTTTGATGTCCCCTGAGCTCCCTGGCCCTGCCTCAAGCTGGCCTGAAACCTCCGAGTGCAGGGTTTCCACCACCTGCGAAGCAATGGCCTCATTCTTGGCTGCCACTGCCTTCAATGTCAACGCGCCAGGGCTGGCATGGCTCACGTTCCTTAGCGAGCTCTTGCCTGCTCTACCTTCAGAGCCCGCTCCAGGACAGACCGCTGATTTTCAGACCAGCGCTGTAAACGGGCTGCCTTCAAGCAGATATGTTACAGCTGACTGCAAAGCAAAGCCAGCGAGCCTGATGCTGAACAACTGCCTCTTCCACGTTGCTCAGTAGATGGTCCACCTCTCATCTTGCACCCCCCCTCCTCCCTGTTTGTCGAATTCTCGACCTTCTCGGCCAGTCGCTGAGTTGTACGCCTCATGACAACAAAACTCAAGTATGCGTACCTACCTGCAGACATCGCAGATCCCTGGTGTCAGCCTTCGTGACGCAGACTGTGACAAGCCGTCCATGTGGCCCAGCTCATGCTGGTCCAGAAGACTCCCGTGTTCTCCTGCCTTTAGAAATCCTTCCCAGCGCTGACAAACATCGCTGATTTGAAAACCTGGCCCTGCATCGATCCATGCTGCTTCAGGAATCTGGGCAGGTTGTGATTGCTCGAGTAGCTGGTCAGGGGTCCTTGAGCCTAGGCCGTGCAGAAGGTAAGACAAAAACCCATGGTGTAGAAACACAAAAGCAGAGCCACCAGTAGGCTGTTGGCCGAAACAAGGAGAGCGTGGAGAAAGACGAAAGTAAAACTACGAGCAGTTGCTTCGACCCCTGAGTCCCTGCGACCTCTCCTCTTCAGGGTTGGTAAGTAGAGACCTCCAAAAGCTGCCAACCTGGTGATGTCGAGGGAAGTGTTGAGCAGAAATCATGAAGAATGGAAGGATGCTGAGTCATGCTGCGTCCATGGTTCATAGCTTGCATGCGGAATCAACGTAGTTTCTGCATGCTACTCCAGACCCAACTGCTTGTAGATTCATTTTGCAGCGCGTCGACTTCGCGCTTCGCCTGTACGTTTCAGGTCCCGGCAGTGGGGACAGTGCCGGAGTAGCTTCCCCAGCACACTGTGCAGCATGCAACGTGGCCGGCCACAAATTCAGATCGCAGGTCGCCCATTCAAAAGGGTCGCACCTGATCAACCTAAGCATAATAAAAAGCTAAATGTGGCTGGGTCCGGGCCAACGCCGTGGCGCTCCTGTACTACACGCCCTTCTCAGGACCCTGCCTAATATCCCTGAGGTAATTGCAAGGCTTGAGTTGTCAAACATGCACGTCACTAACCCGATCAAACTCCCAGAGCCTTCTATCGTCGCCCCAAAGTCCGTCTTCCTCCTCCTCCGTGCCGAAGGTCGAGCCGATCGAACCAAACTTGATCTTGCTGAATGCCACACGCGCATTTGGAAATTTAGCTCGTACGAACGCAGGACTTCCTGTGTCTGGCCGACAGGGGCCCCGGCTCACTCCAGGAGATGATGGGTTGCGGTTTGTTGGATAGCTTGAGTCCAGCCACAGCATGTTGGCCTCTGCATCATCCCACAAAGACAACACCAGCACCATGCCTCGATCAAGTGCCTCTCCCATGGTCTTCAGTCCACCTTTACGATTGAAATCATCGACATCACTGAACGCGGCTTTCATCTCTGCACATATTTCATCATTAATGGAGTTGCCAGAGACCCCAGCAATGGATATGTTTGAATTCGGGATAACCTGCCCGTCTTGCACATAAAATCGTCGGATGTCAATAAGTTCTCCATCATCGGTGCTCCCCTCGGTGATGAACTGCGTCACTACTGTTAGCGGCTTTCGAGAATTGATTTCGAACCTATGACCACGACCATAAAAATGACGGTCCCCGAGGCGCCAAGAGTTGAAGTCACAGCCATCCTTGTCACAGACTCCGTCATATCTCTGGCCCTTGCTCGTGTCACCACAGTCAAGACCATCGCAGATGTATGGACCGCTGATGGAGCAGGGGTGTGGGGTATAGGCAGTAGCCCGGCTGTTGGCCTCCCAGATATCCATCTCGGCGCAGCAACTTCCCCATCGGCCAATAGGAGGATCATGGCTTGCATTCCAGTCCACCACGTTGGCCTTCCCCTCTAAGAACTTGATATCGTGCGGGCACTGGGCATCACAGTAGCCAGTACCATACTTTGCCCCTGCCCCATTCAGCCCACCGCTGCGAGACATTCCGCCATCTTGGTCCATCTCCACAAAATAAACAGCCCCATTGAGCCCACAGGGCATGAAGAACATATCCACAGTGAGAGAGAACTCCTCGAATCCAGGGCTGTAGGGGTGCTTCCCTCTTCTTCGATTTGGAAAAATACTTTAAATGATTACTGTCCTTCCTGTGCCTCATGACTGCTCAAGGCTCTCTGTGCAGTTCCCTTGTGCTTAGGTTCCTGCAACTCAGAAAGTTTCTCGCACACTGAATGCTTGAACAGGAGTCCCGATTCTTCAACTTGAAGAGCTTGTAATGATCGGAGTCATCAAGCAGGTAGATTCGGCTCCCAAAGTTTGAGCCGTACTCAGTCCGCGTGACAAAATTCAACCGCACGCCACCATCACGGAGCTTCGTGATGCCATAGGTCTTACGGTACTGGTCCTGCCAGCTGCCATTACACAAACCACAAACAGAAAAACTCTACAAATATAAAAATACAAAAGCAAAGCATGAGGCGCATGGAGAGCGTGAGGGAGCGCACCCGAGAGCTGAGAAATGAAAACTTTTTGCTGCACGACATCCAAAATGAGCAAGCAAGAGCCTCAGGCCTTTTGCCTCTCGGAAAGAACCTTTGCCACCAAGGGCAGCTCATCGTGGTGGGTTGTGGAACTTAATTTGCGTCACTATATTATCCCGCTACAATGGAGAATCAAATGGAAAAGAAAATGGAAAATGAAATGGTAACTGGGGGAATAGATTTTTTTTGTGACTGGCCTTGTTCCAAAAAGAAGACGTGCCATGCGGCATCTCAAAAGCAGGGCTGGAAAATCTCCAAAAGCCACCAAGCGTGTAATTTGCAGAAGCTCTGGTGGGGATCCAGATACTACTTGCGCCAAACGTTTTTAGGCACACGTAAATTAATGATGAAGAACGGATGATGAGTGGCCCTCTCCACTGATAACATCCTGAACACGCTGAGCTGAGAGATGTGCTGCTTTCTCGCAGCGGCGATGTACCGTTCTCTTCAGTTATGTCTTCAAGCTAAACCGCCATGTGTGGAGCAAGCTGCCGCTCCACCGCGCTCCTGCACAGGCTCCTGCTGCCGCTGTTGATGTGGCTATTGCTCCTACTTGCATGCGATGATGACATTGGAGTCCCAGAGGCTGCCATTGCCTCTATCCATGCAACAAAGAAGCGTCACAGCGGCGGGGAGGTCTGTGGCCACAGGTTTCTTCATGTTAGCACCCACCTTTTCTGCGTGGCAGATTCTGACGTCACTGCTCCGCCAGTGGCCTATGAGATTCTCCGGGGAGCTTTGCGGCTGAAGAAAACCTTTCCACCTGTCTACACACCTGAGCCACCAGCCGAGCTGCAGCATGCCACTGCAAAAGAAATTCTTGAAGTCAGCAGCTCGCAGTAAACAATTATGGATACCCCCATATCTTGATGCCGCCAAGGACCCAATACACCTGAAGATCTATAATTTTGGAGGTCGTGTCAGACCTAGCTTATGAGAGGCGTCTTGTAATGCCTGCCCAGTCCACACTCAGTCGGCTTCACTATCAGAACACCATCATCACCTCTCAATTGTTCCATCAGTACTTCCATCATTCCTCTTGTTGCCCTTGGTGATTCTCTAACAACTTTCGTCGGGTTTCCGCACTCTTTGCCTAAATCCCGGTCCATCCCGGTCCTCAGAGATTCCCTCAAGGTAACAGTTCCTTCCACACGTGACTGGGTCGGGGCACAAGAGCTCGTCCCAGTCATCATCCTTGTAGCAGTTCCTAAGCCAGACCGGAGCCAGATCATATCAGGATCTGCACGGACTAGTGACCTTCTGACTGCTTCAACTCGAACTGTAACCTGATCCGCCAGAAACAGAAAGAGAAATGGCTGTTGTCGTGCCAGGCTCGTGTACTGACCATTGTGAAGCCAGCGCCAGTTGGCATCCAGCACCTCACAGTTTCCAAGTATCCATCGAACATGCACAGAGACCACACAAAGGCTTGCTATTCAGCAACGAGAGCAAGAAGAGAGCAAGAAGAAAGAAACTTTTTCGATGTTCGAATCGCAGAAATGTGACTGTCCCTTGCGCGGCCTAACAGGGCTTGTGCCTGTGTGAGTGTCCCTAAACCCCGCCCCACGGGGCAGCGGGCTTGCAGTAGAGGTTGCATTGCGGCCACCAATGTAGGGCCGACGCACACGCATCCGGTGCGCACACCCAGCAATGCGTTCATTGCCTACTCAGCCTGATAACAGAGCATGTAACAATTGCATTCAATGTCAGAGATATCTTCCTGATTGCAACGCACTGCTTTGACCCCATCGTCAAACTGCCACAACTCACAAACGGACGCCCTAGGTGGGGCCGGAGATGACTCATGTGCAGCATTGATCTGAGAAGAGCTGCAGTGCACTGCAAAAGCTCGGTAATGGCCGGATTGAGGACGTCGCCCAATATGCTTGATGCCCCCTACAAGCGTATACCTGTGCCATGATGTTGCGATGGATTGGCTGAACACGGGCACTGAGATTGTGGCTTGTGGACGGCATGCAATGCGCTGACAGTTCTTGCCTCTGTCAGGATCGGATGACCTGGCAAGTACAAGAGCAAGAAGAGGGGGTCTCGTGGTCATGGCATGCACATAAGGCTGTTGGTGCCACATGTCGATGCAGTCCTGAACCGTCTCCGTCTCCGCATCACTGGGTATGACCAGTGAGATGACAGCGCCCCTGTCTTGCATGGAGGTTTGCTGGCCATTCAGTGTTTCATTAAGGACTCTAGCCTCCCATGTGCATGAAAGGGCCGGGAAACGGCACCTGTCAAGCAGATACTTGAACACCTCAGTGCAATCTTGCTGCGTGTGTATGTGCTGCCAGTCCCGTAGGACTATACGCCATGGGACCATATCAAGGATTCTTACTGGTTTATTCTGGTGCTTTTCCATGGCCTTCAGGGCCGTGAGGAGCATGCCAGTCGGCCTCAAGTCACTGGGAGCTAATGGCAGAACAACATGCAGTAGAAGGTGTATGATAGAGTGCAGATAACAGAGGTTGCTAGGGTTACTGAGACGAAGATTCGTCAATGCGGCAGAAATCTGCGGCGGTGCCCATGTAGCCAGAACACGCCCCGCCTCCGTCACTGATCTTGTCCGAAGGCTAGATCCTGAACTTCCTTCATCAGCGGTGACCGTTCTATGTGGGCCGGGCGAAGACGTGTTCGAGTAGCAGCGTCACTGAGTGTCCCGACATCTCCGCGGTGAGCAGGCGGGTCGCTGAAAAACGCAGGATCAGCCCTGGTTCCACCAGCAGGGTTCGAATCTCCTTCAAGTCGCGGATGAATTGCTCCTTGCCCACGGCACCCAGCTCTGGGGCCGCCTGGAGCTTGTTTTCCTTCCACCTCATGTACACCCACTGAGCATCTGCGGCTGTCTCCGCTTGCGGGGCCGATGGTGACACAAGCCACCCTTGCTTGGCCGCATTCTGAAGGCTTTCTTTGTCTGCCAGCCGCTTCAGGAGCGTATCGATGAGAAAGATCAGAAGTGTATGTCGTAGTCGTAGCGTTCGATTGATCTTGCCCGGCTCGTTGAGGCGCAGGTGGTTCCATCTTTCGGCCACCCCCGCGAGGACCGGTATGATGTGCGCCGGGTTCTCTTCTACGCTGAAGGTCATCAGCACAGTATGGTCCCTTTGAAGACGCGCTATATAATCTCCCTGGCGAAGCGTTAGCCTGGCCAACGCCTTGACTGTTGCTTCCAACCCTGAGCCACCGCTCGATCCTTGATTTTGCTGGTGGTGCTGAGGTCTCATTCTCCCTCGGCCGCGGCCTTTTTTTTTGGCCGCTTGTGATGCTGGCGACTTCGCTGGTCTCTCCCCCGTGATGCGCGGCTCCCCGACAGGGGCCGGCCTTTTGTGGTGAAGGAGGTACTCGTACAGAGTGGCTTCCTCCTGGTCCATGTCTGTCGCCACCATGGGGTGTGGCGGGGTTTGCCAGGAGAGCTCCGAGCCCGATCTGCCATAGTACCGGATACGTGCCTGCATGTTGAGAGGTTTTGCTCACTTGCGCACCACAAAATCTGCAAGGAGAGATGAGATGCCCTACTTGTTTGCAATCAGCAAGCGCAGTCGCGCCAGCGGTGTTATACATTTCAGGGTGAACCTTCAAAACGTGGAGCTTAATGCTTATGTTTGCGACCCATTGAGAGCATATACAGCATCTGTGCTTCAGTTGCTCAAGAATGTATGCATGCTGCGCAACGTCCATCCATTGGCTTAGAGGCTTGCATAGAGCACGAATCTGACTCAGCGGTGTGTCGGACTCATGCACATGTGTTCCTTCGCTGGTCTGACGCCTGTCCACAGCGCTGTTCACCCGTCTCTCAAAAGCGGCTCTCGGGCCAGCATCTTGCCTCGGTGCCGACACATGCTCCTGTCGCTCCGGTGTGTCTGGCAGAGTCTCTTGCTCAGCTCTCCACATGACAGAGCAATGCCTACCTGCAAAGCGCCGGCAAAAGTTGCGCCATGTTTTGAGATCCTTCACGCAGAAGAAATGACACACCGGCATTCCGTCCACGCTATGTTGACGGAAATCGCCTTTCACGGGGGGCAGTTTGGGAAGCTGATGCACACGCTTTTGATCAAGTTTTAGGCCGGCTACATCAGCGAAGTGGAGTCCACATTTTTGACATTTGAAGTCTGCAGATCGTGCCCCGCCGATCAGGCCTCCGGCTTCGGCTCCCTGCTGGGGCTGAGGAAAGTGCTCAGGTATATCACCCCTTCCACCTGAGGTTTGTACAGGGATGGTTGCTAAGATGCGAGGTCAAAGAACCCCCCTGAACGCATAGCTTGATCATCCACGCTAGGGTTCCCACGTTGTTGACCATGGGATCCTGGGAGGCCCGAGCATTCTCCATGACCTTCTGGGAGCGATGTCGATATAAATCGAGTGGGTCTGCTGTAGCATACCTACTATACAAGTCTCTGCTGGATTCTTTGCGCATGTGAGCAAAGCTTCCTACAATGGCCCATACATGTTTGGTCAGCGCAATGGTGGGCCTGTCGACTTGTTTTTTGCCCATTTCAACAGCATGGAGGCCGTAAAGAGCGGCACTCCTGACACATGTTACCCACAATTGTAGCCGCCTTTTAACTGAAATACCTTTGTGATGGAGAACCTTGAGTAGACGTGCTCTTTGGGCATTGGCAGCCGCTAGCCTATGCTGTAACGTCAGTTTTTCAAAGTTCTGGTAGGAAACCTTTATGCCCAGATAGGTGGCAGAAGTGACTATAGGCAACTGTTGCGACTGTCCCTTCTCAGACCATAAGACAAGACGAGGGCCATCGTTAGTTTTACGCGTGTGCTTCTTCCGCCAAATCTTGAACTGCCTGCCTCTGCCCGCCATGATAACCTGTGTCTTGCTGCGCTGTACCTGAAGGCCAATGGATTTTAGGATGGCTAGACACTTTGTAAGGTTTGGCAGGAATTTGTCAAGTTCGGACTTGCTGTTGAACTCGTAGTGTATGCGCAAGTCATCCGCAAAAAGCGTGGAGCACTCGCGCACTCGCGCACCCAGAAGGGGCCGGTCTGCTCCCCATTCCCCGCGTCGGCTCGTGATCCGTGCCTCAGCATCTGTCTTGCAAGGATGATATCCGATGTGACTACGCAGCGCCATAATGACTGCTACATCGTTTGCATCCACACCTGCAGCACGCAGCTCTTGCAGCAAACTTGATGGTCGCTCGTATCAAACGCCTTAGACGCATCGATAGAGATCATAATTCCGCCGCAGCAGTTAGTGGGCATTCTTCCCGTTTCGCGTCTATCTTGCAAGGAAAACGTAGCGCTTGCGATCGTGTCCCGCACCCTGGAGCAGTGGGCTACTACCCTAGCGACGGCGCGATCTATACTTCTGCTCTGAAGATAGGCATATTGAGGCCACGTCGCGGCCGCCTCCGAAACAAGGGGCCGAATCCTGTTGTTCAATGCTTTAGCGAAGACCTTGCCACCGGCTTCTGTGAGGGATATTGGGCGAAGATCACTGGGCTTGTTGGCAGGTTTTATATGTTTGAAGCTTTTTTGCTTCATCGGCCTCTCTTTAGGGTGCCGGCTCATCGCCATCACGGAACTACTCAGTGCTGTGCACCCCCGCACCTACAAGGCAGTGATGTGGAGAATCTCCACAAGACTTCATAACCCAGATAAAACGCCTCGAAAAGATCCACGCAGCCCCCCAGCTGGGGAAGCCGGAGACGTGGACGAGCCGAGCAAAGCCCTTCCGGCCTCCCGAGAGGAGCTGCCGACCAGTGAAGACACGGCTCCAAGCACCGCCCTGAGAGGTTTCATGCGTACCATTACCTCCTTTCAAACTCAGCAGGATGGTTGTCAGGCGCCAGCAATGTGGACGACAGTCAAGGCGACGACTCTACACTGACGGCCCTCCTGGGAGCTGTGAGGAGAAGCCGGCCGCTGAAGAAGGCCAGCCCGTGTCGTTGCCACTGTCCGCCCAACCTGGGCACCGTGCTGAGGGACCAGTGCCGGACTCCTCCACGACCGGTGAAAACTACGTGATGTCCATACAGAGCTTGCAAAGCACATACATGTATGAATTGTCGAACGGCAATGCTAGCAATGCTGTGTGTACCCAGGTCTCTGCAGTGTCCCCGCCATGCACAAGGTAGGCGGTCACAACTGGCACCCATGGATGTGCGCTCCCAGGAAGAGATCCCGATGGATCGCTCTCATATCAGCACGCGGGCTCCTTTGAGTGATTGTCTATTCCTGCGTTCTCTGGGTGATGGCGCTACATGAGATCCTGGGTAAGACGTCTAAGGTAGCTAAACTGCATGCTAAGCCAGCCTATACACGCAAGCGAGCTCCAAACAAACTTCTTTTTCTCCTCATACTTCTATGCATTGTTGGGCAGGCGCGTGGCCATCAAGGCAATGAGGCAGAAGCGCAGAGTCAGCCCACACTGTCTCAGGAAGCCCAAAGCTACACGGCCAAGCGAAACCTTCGAAAGGCCGCGCACAGAGCTAGTAGGTCGGCGCATCGGTGCGCCACGTACAAAGGGCAGACCTACAGCGCCGAAGCCCTTCGCCGGATGGCAGGTCTGACAACGGCCACCCCAGGTGTGCTGAGCAGGCGCTCCAGAAGTAAAGGTCCGGACCCTATCCCTAAAAAATCAGGGCTAGGCTCAGGGTCATGACATGGAATGCGGGCGGACTTCCCAAAAATGCTTGGATGGAGTTCCAACTCTGGCTTCATGATCAAAAGGACCATGATGTGATAATGATTCAAGAGACACACTGGCGATTTTCCTCTCAATTCAATCTCCCTAAATATCACGCGTTACATTCGGGTACTGCTGACCATCGTCATCAAGGATGCTTAACGCTTATGCATAAAAGGTGCTGCAACGCGGAAGACGTCCGCTGGTCCCCGACAGTAGGAGGTCACCTGCTTCACGCGCGCTTCCCACAAGCAAAAGCACGTTGATATTGTAAACCTGTGTCAGCGCTGCTGGAATAATGCCAGTGGTATTGAGCATCTAACCGCGAAAAGAGACAAACTGTGGTACAGGACACAATCCCTGCTCAGCAACGTACCTATACGTAATACCTTGATCTTGGGAGGGGATTTTAACACACCTTGCGGATCCCAAGGAGATTGTGTGGGTCCAGGCATCACCCCCAGTAAACACCCACCGCCCGATCAAGACCAACTCCAGCATATGCTCATGATATTAAGACTACAAGTCTTGAACTCATGGGGCAAAAAATCTAAGTCTTTCACCTTTGAAAATGGGGACGCTAAGACCCAAATTGATTTTAATTATTACGCGGGGCGCTCAGGCGGATCAGGTGGCGCGGAAGGCCAAAGTTCTCTTCGAGTATCCTGTACTTAAGTGGCGGTTCGGACGGGTACACCATCCCGTGGCCAGTAGCATCCCAATGCTGCATTATTAAACTGCATCACGCAAGGCCCCCAAGCAGACACGGCCAAAAATTGCTAGCCGCCAGAGCGAAGCCTCCATTCGGAACTTTCGTGTCTCACTCGAGAATGCGCTTGACACAAACAGAGCAGTGTCTGCGGATGATCTTAATACGGCCTTTCTAGAGGCTAGCCGCTACCTAGACATTGAACACCCCGATCAAGCACCTAGGGTAGTTGATGGCCTCCAAGAGGAGGTCAAACATATGTGGCAGGCGAGGAAAGACATGCTTGCAGTTGTGCCTGCCAGCATGGCAAAGCATATCAAATTGCATCAGGCCGGGGATCCACAGCCTTCGAATGAAACTAGTATTTCCGCGTCAGTTCGGGGTGATCGTACGCGGGGGATACTAACGGCGTGGAAGCATCTCTCCAGATACCTAAGACTCCACAAGGTCTTCCGCAGGCGTGGCAGAGAGCGGAAACGAGAACTATTTGGGGATACTCTTGAGGCGGCAACTCGTGGCGGCCGCAGCTCCAGCACCCCACAGGCGGCACTCCATGGGAGGCCGATTCGTGGAATTCTGTATGCTTAGCAGACAGCTCCAAGCGCCGACATCTCTTCCTACCACTTCCAGCAACTTTTGTTAAACTTTGGTGGGCCCTTGGCCAAGGGCCGTTTGCACTGGCTCCCGGACGGGGCCGTAGCCTTCCCAATCTGCGTGGCCTCTATGCGTGGTCTCCACTGCCCTTTGGCCGCCCGCCCATCGATCCAGCGTCCAGCACTGGTTGCCCTTGTTGCAGGCTTGGGCTTCTCTGCTGACTTGGTCATGGGCCTTTCAAGTGGCAGGAAGGCCGAAGCAGCGGCCTGCGGCTTTTTGCGGGGGTTCCTAATAGCCGATTGATTGGCTTCGGCCCTGGCCTTAGCCCGGGCCGCCCTCGCCGCGATCTCTCCAACCGTGCGCGACGTGGGGGCTGCCCCTTCGACTTGCTGCCTTGAAGGTTGCATGAAGTCAGAACATACAGCGGACGCTACGCGCAGCTTGCTAGCTCTACTCATGGGATTGCTCACAATGTTGAATCGCGATAGTACCATGCACCCTAAGAAGGCCATTATTGGGCGATCCACCACGGACCAAATATTGGCAGCCTATAGCGCGCGCCCCTCCCTTGTCCAAGCAGTCACTACGTGAACCTGCGATCCATTGCTGCGCATCGACAGTCATGCTGCGTTTTGCTGTCACGCTCTGCTGCAAGCGTGGTAGCGCCGTCCTGAGAAATGCAACACACGGGGCTCTGGCCGTATGGTGACCATATTCGAACTCAAGTCTGATATGCGTTGACCTGACACAAGATGTGTAGTTGCGTGCAGAATATACGTTGCATGGAAGGATTGATCTACAGAGCCGTCGTTTCATGTACCAGCACATATGAAAGTTTTAGACCAAATCTTAAGGTCCACTCTATCCTATCAACACTCAACTCAACCTAACTACAGCGGTCTGTTCTTTTCTACGCACTGCAGCTACGGTCTGCTGGTGGGTTTGAGCCTAGCGCAGCGGTGTGAAACATATCTCTACATTGG